GGTGTGCGGGAGATCGCTCTTTGTGTGCCTGTGGGCGCTGCCACGTCGGGGAGTGTCTCTGGATTGTTTCTGCCCTCACACCACACACGTGCTGGTCAGACTTGAGCGTTTACTATTGCCCTGACCGAGCTGCGCAGCTCCTCGCTTACGTCAGAAGATGTGCAAAGCTGTAAGATCTTTAAAGTCTGTGTGATGAGGTATGCTGGAGGCTTGATTTTGTCCCACTGGTCCTTAGAAGGGAAATGTAAGTATGCACGCAGTCTGTCGAAGAGCCGCAGGATCCTCACCCTGAAGGCAAGCAGCAGGAGCTCGTCTTCGCCCAGCCGGGCAGGGGGAGGCAGCCGGCCGCCGTCACAGACCTGGGGAGCAGAGGTGAACAGTGTCAGCAGAGCCTCAGCAGCTCAGGGCAAAGCTTCAGCGCTTTGGTCTCTCTCCCCCCAGCAGACAAACCTGCCCGCTGTGAAGGAAGGGAGCTGCCACACACCCTGCCCCGCGTGGATCGTGGCTCTCCTCCCCATGGCCACCGTGGAGCTGCCCGTGCGCTTGAGAAATACCTGTGCTTTGGTTCCCATGCTGAATTTTGCTTGTTGCCCCATGGCAAGGAAGGAAACAGTGATCTTGTCCTGGCCCAGAATCCTGACCCCCACGTGCTGGTTCAGCGAGATGAAGATGGGGCTCAGCGGGACGTGGGGTCCCGATGACGTGGTGCTGTTTGGCCACGTCCACCTTCTCACCCGGCTGCCTGCTTGGTCCAAATACTGCCCTCCCTGAATACTCATGTTTATCCTAAAAGAGAGGGAGGTCAAAGCTCTGCCCCTGCAGCTCCCACCACAGATGTCCCTCGTTCCCCAGAGGGAGGGGACTGAGGTACAGCTTGTTTGGGATTTAACCTCCTGCCTCAAGACACAGCTGGGGTAGCCTTGCTCTCCTGGGAGGCACCCACAGCAGGGCCCTGGAGCTGCTCTAGTTGTCTTTTAATTTTTGCGTGCTCTGACCGACGTGAACGTACCACACGGCTCCATTCGGATAATAGCAAGTGCTTCTGCCGTTGGACTTAAATACTGCTCGTATTCCGGCGTCACTCCGCTTGTCTTCCTGTACTATGCAAACGAGCCGCTTTTCCTCTCGCACAACGATGATTGCCAGGTTTCCAGAGGGATAGCTGTTCTCAGATGAGGTGTTCATAACCCTTCTGTTTGTCTAGTTGGTCTATTATTGCACACTAAATGTAAAACTGGACGCGTTACCTAGATCGCCGCGTTGAAGGCGGAACAGCGGGTGCTGCCAGCGCTTCTCTCTCGCAGTGGAGTATTCTGTGTGCGCTGACAGAGGGCGGTTAGAGATACGGAATACATTTTTCTTGTTTTCTAACCCATCACCCAGGCGCTTTCAGAGCTCGCGCAGGCAGCAGCGACCTCCCAGCAGTGGCCAGAGTTTGGGAGCAGGTCCAAACCCTGGGGCCGGCGCTTCCTAACGGGGTGTAAAAGACAGAAGCGCCCGTCCTTCACCAAAGCTCCTGGCTGATCTGAAAAACTTCACGCCAAGAGCTAGGTAAGTGGTTTCGCTACTGCTTTTTTTCCCAGAACTGTGAAGTGAGTGTGAGTGGTGGAGCAGGTTATGTGGTGGTGGAGCAGACGAGGGCACCCTTAAAATTCCAGTTACAGCCCTGGATGAATGCAGGCAAACGAACCCCGTGAAGGATACAATAACTGCGCCGTTCCATCCGGAAGCATGGTGAGGAATTTCCCTCCGTGTTTGTAGTATTTTTCCAACAGTTCATTCTTCACTACCTGAGAGTGGGAAAGAAAAGATGAAACGGGTGAAAGCAGCCCTGAGCCAACTGCCCTTCGAGGTGCCGGGCTCCCGGAGCGCACGGCCGGGGCGCAGCCACTCGCCTTCCCACCCACGAGGGTGAAATCACAGCAGGTGACATCGCAGGAGGCGCTGCAGGAGCTGGGCTCCTCCTCGGGCTTTGCTGCTCTCTCCACAGGCACCAGCGTCGGGCCCTCCGGCGACGGGGGCTCCCGCGAAAGCAGGTAGGAGATCGTGCCGGATTGATTTGAACCTGGAGAGCGAGGGGAAGGTGGTGTGCGCCGGCGTCGGGGCACCCAGCACCTCAGCAGGGGAGGGGGAATTAATTTCTGGCTGAAGTGCTCCATCCTGGGAGTCTGTCTCGGGCTATTTTCTGTCTCACGAGGACAGCCCACAGTGTGTAGCTATTTCGGAGAACAGCTAATTGTTGGGCGTAACGCAGTAGCAGCTAATCTCCCTCATTTGGCAGTTCCCACCTTCCAGGGGCTTGGTTTTGCCAATTTATTATTCTCTAAGGTCAATTTCTGCGCATCTCAGCTGAAACCTTCAGATGTAAATAGTGGAAGTCACAGCAAGGAGGTCCTCTGGGCAATGGGAGTGTAACGGCTTTTGTTTTTTCACGGGAGGGATTATTTAACAGGGCAACGTCTCATTTAATGGGATTGCACGCTTGACAATGAACATGCTGCTCTATGAATCCTCCTGGTCAATTAGAGAGCGTTAAAGATGAGCATTTCTATTGAATTCATCGCTGTAATAAATAGAGAGCTAAATGCATGAGGAAATGCAGACTCACGTTCAGCCACACTCGTGGGCTCTGCTGCCAGGAAAGCCAACTGCCTGGCCATTCGCCGCTCCTGCTGCCTGGAAGATGAAAGCAGCCCTCACAGACGTTTCATACAGCCCGTCCCAAAAGCTACAAGTGCTGGACATCCTTGCCACAGCAACACAGGTTTCCGAACCTGTTTTTTCTCGCCACTTGCATACTTGCAAGTAACAGTTAGAGGCGACTGTTATATCACCAAAATAATAATATCTCAGCAAAAAGGAATTGCTCCCATACAGAGGTTTTGGTGAGCAGACTCTGTGACTGCAGATCAGCCTTACTGCCAGCAGGGCTGGACGCAGTAATGGACTTTTGCATCAAGTTTTTATGTACAAGAGGGTAACTGCCCAAAAGACCAGGGAAACAGCTAATCCCATGAATATTTTTGCTGTTCTTCTTATCCTGCGTCCTACATGTCAGCGTCTGACGATGGCTTTGGCTTATGTCCTGTACAAAACACACTGTCAGAGTGCGAAGGATCTTCGAGGAAACTAACGATTTACTTGCAGGTATGCTGATTTACTTTTCTTTAAGCCTATTTGCATGAGCTTTGGGCCTCCTGCTTAACAGCCCAGTGTTCTCGTGACTCTGGAAGCTCGAACCCAAATGCGTGCCACAGTTCACGCAGCACAGCAGAGAAACAGAAATTCAAGCGTTGTTCCAGCACCTGAGCTAAAAGCTGGACCCAAATATTATCCCTCTCACAGAGCAACTATGCTTTTGGCTCTACCTGTCTCTAGATACTGCGTCTGTCAGCAGCAGAATTACTGCCGGACTTAGCACAGATCTCGCCGCCTTCTAATACAGCCTGAGGAGAGAAGAGCCAAGAGGATCCAAATGGAACATGAGCTTACGTGCTTAATGCAATTTTTTTTGTCTTTCATTCCCTCTCGCTGCAGTTTCATTTTCCTAACGTGCCTCTTCCCCCCGGAGTCGCTGCTGCTCCTCACACAGACCTGGCCCCCGGTTCTCCCCGGAGTCCTTTCCCGGTACCTCTGGTACGCTCTCTCCTTCCGCAGCTGTCTGTCGGTGCGGTGGGACCTGTGGGGGCCGGCAGCGCGGGGAACGCTGCGGGCTTCTTCGTGCTTCCTCCTCTCAGCTACGATGAACTCGTAGAGCTCTCGATTGCGCTCGCAGCAGAATTTCTGGAAGGCAGGAGAGCAGTGCGGCGGGGGGG